GTGTCGTCAAGTTACTTCCAACTCATAGCCACCCAGTTTAGGAGTTACCAAGGAGCAACTAATGAGTTTGAACCGCAGACCTTGTGATTCAAATCATTTTGCAATCTTGCACTTATCCCACAGCACCACACCAGGATAGTAATAGGGAATTATGGGGTCCTGTTGTGGCGCTGTAGAGTAAGCACTGAACTGTTAACATAAAGTCAGTGGTTCAAACCTACCAGCAGCTACTCGGAAACCCTGTAGATGGTTGCTGTGAGTCAGTACTGACTCAACAGAACTTAACAACAACAAAATGAGGAAACATAAGCTAATTGCAATATTATGCAAAGCATAAGTGAATCATACATCTACTCTCAACTAGGCTATGTAGGCTTAACAAAGCATTGGATGGATTCTTTACCTTTTTCTGTAATGGCATCAGGTCTGCATTGTAAAACTAGCTACCTTGTGTTGGTGAGAAGCTCTCTTCTTGAGTGCTGATGTTACCTTGGGGATTTTTAATGTAATTGGTGGACTCTATGGTGTCACCAAGTGGTTACAGTTGACCTGAAGTCAGATCATCCAACTTGTAGTAAGTTTTAGACTCAGGTACAGAGTAGTAACACAGTTACATAAATTGGAGTACATGGTGGTATGTTTGGGAGCCACTGGGATAGAAGAATCAATTCTGGGCTTTCTCAACTTGAGCTCTTAAACTCTATGTGTTTTCCATCCTTTAAAGAAAATGGAGGCTTGGTGATCATCAACATATTGTCAGTTGAGACCATACCAAGAAAAATGTTAATGCATTTCTTCCTTCCCATTTGCAAGGGTTGCCTTTGACTCTATTCAGAATCAAGGCATCTTTGTCTTCTCCTCTGCTAGTTAAGTTGTTGGATATTGAGAACTAGGGTCAAGCTGGAGCCCTGGGTGAAGCAAATGGTTAATGCACTGTGCTGCTAACCAAAAGGTTGGTGATTCGGGCTCACCCAGAGACACCTCAGAAGATTTACTTACAAAATTTCACCCACTGAAAGCCCTATGGAATATAGTTCTTTTCTGATGCACGTTGGGTCACCATGGGTCGGAATCCACATGAAGGCAACTTAAATTAGAGGATCAAGCTCAATTCTTGGCTTGTAAAAGATATGTGCTAAATAGCAAAACAAAAGAAAGGAGATCACCACCGAGCAGACCCAAATGAGCACTGTCTTTGAGTGAGTCTGGGAAAAGGAGATCACCACAGAGCAGACCCAAATGAGCACTGTCTTTGAGTGAGTGTGGGAAAAACTCACCTTAGATTTAGTTGACTGCCCACCAGTGATGTTCCAGAAGCAGTGGCCACTGAGCTGGAGTAGATTCTACTATTTAGGGCAGACTTTTAAACCCCATATCACCGCAGCCCTTGGTTTACAGGAGAAACCCAAAGTTTGCAATAGGAGAAAAAAATAAATAAAAGCTGAGTTCCTTTTACTTTGACGAGCCAACTGAACATTTCATAATGGTTGGCAAAAGATTCGGAAATACATCTACTACTTTTGTTCAACTTGGAAGAGGAATTGGGGCCAAGTTAAAAATTGGTATGTTTGCTATCTGTCCTTTCAGTTTGATTGTTTCAGAAATGTGGTGACAGCTTCTATTTTCTAGAGTATTTCAGGAAGGGAAAATATCTTCACTCTCTTCTTTGTGAGGATGTACACATGGGAACAACCTCAGGTCTTGTCATCGCTTTCGTTTGCTGGCCTCATGGGTTTCTGTCTGCATGGCCCTCATATGTCCCTCCTACCCTGGCCTTTCTTATGCCTTAGCAGTGAGTGTGCATGGCTTTCACTCTTTCTTTTCCTTTCTCCTTCCCAGAGTCAAGCTATGCGAATTGTCCGGACAGTGGGGCAGGCCTTTGAGGTCTGCCACAAGCTGAGCCTACAGCACACGCAGCAGAATGCAGATGGACAGGAAGATGGGGAGAGTGAGAGGAACAGCAACAGCTCAGGGGACCCAGGTAAGTGCCATCACTGCTGTGAGTGGAGAGACACGTAGACACGATGTGGTCTGTGGATCACTCCTGCTGGGCCTATGCAGCTCAGTCCTTTAAAAAGCACTTTATTTTTGCTATTCTTTTCCAGATTGCAATTCCTTTTTTAAGGAACATGTGTTATTTTTATAACAGAAAATATCAGATGGTTAGGCTATCAAATGAGGCATTTAGATTGGGTCTCCAGGAACACTCCCTAATGTCAATCTGTTTAGTCTATCAGACCTGGCCCCATAGAAAACTTGGATATAAAAGCTGTTGTTATTAAGTGCCATCAAGTTGGTTCCAATTCATACTGACCCTGTATCGGGGTTTCCAAGAAGTGGCTGGTGGGTTTGAACCACCAACTTTGTACTTAGCAGTCCACTGCTTATCCTATAGTACTACAACTTGTTGTTAAGTGCCATCGAATTGGTTCTGACCCACAGCAACCCTGTATAGGGTTTCCAGGGAGCAGCTGTTGAACTTGAACTACTGACCTTATGGTTCAAACTGGCTTTGTAGTCCAGTGCAATAACCCATAGCGCCACACCAGGACTCCCACAGTACCACACGAGGACTCTAGTATTAAAGTTGTTATTGAGTGCTGTCAAGTTGGTTTTGACTCATAGTGACCCTGTATAGAGTTTCCAAGGAGATACTGGTGGGTTTGAACCTCTTGACCTTTGGGTTAGCAGTCCAGTGCTTATCCTACAGTGCCACACCAGGACTCCAGTATAATAGTTGTTATTGTTAACTGCCGTTGAGTCGATTCCGACCCATAGCGACCCTGTATAGGGTTTCCAAGGAGCAGCAGGTGAGCTTGAACCACCAACCTTGCAGTTCAAACAGGTTTGCAGTCTGGTGCATTAACCCACAGCGCCACACCAGGACTCCAGTATCATAGTAGCCTCTCATAAAAAGATTCGAAAGAATATAAGTTTACCATTACCCAAATAGTTTTGTTTATGTGTGTGTGTATGTGTTTGCATTTCTAATGTTCCATCCTATAGACCTTCAGTGTGGACAGTATTCCAGCATTCTCAATTTTCATTTCTCATTGAAAGTCAGCAGTGACACAGGGTGTCTTTGATCACCTCTGTTATTGAGCCATCAACGTGAAAATAGAAGTCTGAGCATTAGAAAGCAGCAGGTGAAATTAATATTGTTTATATGAATTCTTTGTATGGAAAACCCAACAGCATAAACTGTGAAAACTATTAGAATTAAGTTTTAAAATAGTTAAAGGTGTGCTCACCTCCATGGCTCAGTTTTCAGACAAGGTATATAATGGGGACAACAACACTAGTGAGGTACACACACACACACACATGGAATGGGCAACCATTCACAATCAAAAGACCAACTTTTACCCAAAAATATAATTCAGAAGGGTTGGGAAAGGAGGAGGAATGGAAATAAGAAACACAGGGAGGAAGTGGGATAAATGATGACATGTGGAAGGGATTGCAGTCACTACAATGAAACAAAGTGATGATTTGTTGAATGTAAAACTGATAATCTGCTCTGTAAAACTTCACTAGCTTCATGGTAAAAAAAGTTTAGAAAAAAATTTAGCTAAAATGCTAGATCCAGTATTACACAAAGGAATCTATGGCCTCCATATATTCCAACAATAAACAGTTACAAGTCATAAAACATCATTTAACATACCAATTTAAAAAGGTAATTAGTAATGAATGATCACAATTAAAAATGTATGTTTTATATAAAACATTTTAAACAAATGAAAAGGCATGCCATAATCTTAATTGGAAGCAACAATATCATAAAGATGTTAATCTCCCTGTGTTAAGCTATTAATTAGATACAACACCAGTTTCCAATAGCAATCATTGGCTGTATGTTCCTGAACAAGTTTCTTAATCTCTGTGCCTTTGTTTCTTCTTATGAAAAAAAATCGGAATAGTAGAACCAAACAGTATTATAACGGGATGACATGAGTTGATACGTTTAAAAGGCACATAGTAAACACTGTGGTGCACTGGGTGGATTTAAACCACCAGCCTTTTGATTAGCAGCTGAGTACTTTACCATGTGTTCCCCTAGGGCTCCTTGTTGTTGTTCGGTGCCATCGAGTTGGTACCGACTCAGAGCGACCCTATTCACAGCAGAACGAAACACTACCCCATCCTGGGCCAACCTCACTACTGTTGCTACATGTGAATCCACTGATGCTGCCATTTGGCCAGTCTCATTGGGGGTCTTCCTCCTTTTCACTGACCCTCCACCTTACTACCAGCTCTTCTGCTGGAGAAAGATGAGGCGTTCTGCTCCCGTAAAGATTTACAGCCTCGGGAATCCCTGTATAGGGCCGCTATGAGTCAGAACCGACTCCACAGCATACAGCCACCACCACCACCTTACCAAACATGATATCCTTCTCGAGTGACTGGTCCTTCCTGACAATATGTCTGACGTATGAGAGGTGAAGTTTGGCCATCTTGGCCTCCAAGGAGCACTCTGGCAGATAGTAGAGCATAATAGTGCCATTTCTCTGTAAACCTCATATCGAGGTAAGACTAGACCATTAGTCAACTGCTTTGCTTGGAAAACAGAAGTTGATATGCTTGCTTCTGAATTGAGGGATTTCCCATCAGAGCTGCTAACTAGAGAAGATTCATGCCTTTGCAGTGTAACTTCTTTGGTAATGCTTTCCTCCTCTCTTAGGGGAGAGCTGTAGTCTAGTTCTCAAATACTTTCAGACCCATCAATCACACTGGTCTCCAGTATATACATAAATAAAGAAATTCTATTCAAAAAGTAAAAGGGGCTGAATATCTCTGGTAAAGCCTCTTATTCTTGAAGTGAAAGGTGTTAGACACAAGGAGGGTACCTGCAGGCTCATGTTGGACCATTGTTATTCTCCCACAGTTCCTGTCTGAGAAACTTGACCTCCTCTCCCAGCATCTAATCAGAAGCAGGTGTTCAGCCAGCGACATCAGATTTAGAAAGAACAGCCTGCTAGGATAGCCTTTCATGTAGACCATGAAGGCTAGGTCCTTATTTTTTTTCCTGCAGTAGGAGCTCTGGTAGCATAGTGGTTACGAATCAGGCTGTGAACTGCAAGGTCAGCAGTTCAAAACTACCAGCTGTTCCACAATAGAAGGATGAGGCGTTCTGCTCCCGTATAGATTTACAGCCTTGGAAACCCTGTACAGGGTCACTATGAGTCAGAACCGACTCCACAGCATACAGCAACAGCAGGAAGTACTCTCTTCTTCCATTCCTCAGCCCTGCAGTGGACAGCTGGGTGAGGTAGTTGAAGTGATTTCCATGGATACTGTGGAAGATTCTCTCCAAGGGCGTTGGGTCAGTGGGGTTTCCACAGGATCATTCCCTGTCCTTTCCTTTCTGTCTCACCTTGCCCCACTCCTCTCCTTGCCCCTGAATGCATCAGGTACCTTCCAGCCTTTGTCAATGCTATTTCCTCTGCCAGGGGTTCCCTACATCACCTCCATGCAGAGGGATCCCTCATCCTTAAGCTTCATGTCTTCTGGGAAGAATTCTCCCACACTTTTCCATTGAGTTCACTATGTACCAGGCATGAAGAATATCCTGTCTTTAGTAGAATAGACACTCTGGGCAGATAGGGACTATTCCTGGCACAACCAATGTTGTTAAGTGTCGTGGAGTCAGTTCCCTGTATAATAAGGTTTTGAAGGTGTAACTAGTGAGTTTGAACCGCCGACCTCGCAGTCCAGTGCATTAACCCACAGCACCACACCAGGATGCCATGGCACAACCAATACTTGTTGATAAAAGTGACAAAATGCCATTGTGGCATTGTCAACAGACATCTGTCAAATGCTTCTTGTTACTGCTGTTGTTAAGTGCTGTTGAGTCCTTTCCGACCCATAGTGACCCTGTATAGGATTTCTAAGGAGCGACTGGTGAGCTTGAACCACCAACCTTGCAGTTCAAACCACCTTTTTGTAGTCCAGTGCATTAATCCACAGCATCACACCAGGACTCCTGTGCCAAAATGCACATGGCAGTTAAGTTGAGATTTCAACAGAGAGTGTCTTTAAAACCATCTCCTTGATGAGGAGTGATGGTATTAGGTGTAATTATGGTTGATACAGCACAGAGCACAGTGAGACTGGCAGGCTGCACGAAATACTGATGTGTAAAGGCCGGTGGCAATGAAGGCAGCCATGTCTTCTGATCGATACTAAATATTGTTAAACTCTTTTGATGGTAACAGATCATCAGTATTGAAATAATGGGCTCACTAAGTCTTTGCTTCTCCTTTTTATCACCTTTTTGGTAATCGTTTTCTCAAAAATGTCAAACAAAGCCCTGCTTGTTCCTTTTAGAGAGTCAAACATGGGTGAGAGGTGGATTGTGTAAACCATCTCGGCATTCCTGCGGAGTCAAAGAAATGGCAGGGGCTTGCATCTCCTTGTGTAATAAGTACATGGCCTATGGAGAGATGAAAGGAGAGAGAAGTAAGTGTGTAAGGTAGTAGGAGCACCTGAACAGCTGATTACAGCGGCATGTAAGAGTTTGGGTGCTGGCACTTGGATGTCTAGGTTTGATTCGTGACTCTACCACTTTGAAACTAGATTATCCCGGACAAATTACATATTCTCTCTGGATATTCATTTTATGCATGTAAATCAGGGTTATGACTTGCATATAAGACACTTTAAAGAAGTATTGTTGTTAAATTGAGGAGTCATTTCCGACTGATAGCAACCCTGTATAGGGTTTCTGAGAAGCGGCTGGTGAGTTTGAACCACAGACCTTGTGACTCAAACTAACCTTTCAATGAAGTACTCATCCTATAGCACCACACCAGGACTGCCCTTAGCTATGTTTCCAGTGCTGACTCCAAAATGCATGGCCTCATTTACATGGTGAGGGAAATAGGAAGATCTCTGAAGCCCTGTGATTTTATAACAAGCCTCTGGTGGCATAGTGGTTACGAATCGGGCTGCGAGCCACAAGGTCAGCAGTTCGAA